GTGTTGCTTTTAAAATATATATATTGCTGCTTGTTCCATATCACAGTTTTATCATGATTTGATTTTTATTTCAAGAATTTGTTATTAAGACTAATTAAAAGCAGTTATAACTAATTTATTCTGTAATATACATTCAGCAGAATTCAGAGAATCAATCTGCAGCAGTATCTTCAACACTTCAAAATTGTCTGTGTGCATAACGGAATCTAGTGGAGATTATTATTGTGAAAATTAAGTTTAATTTAACATATGTTTAGAACCATTTGCAAATATTAAAGATAGTAAAGTTATATACAAAAATATTATCTTGTTCATAATCAATTTCATTCAAACAATTTTATATTAGCTTTGCCCAATAGGAGAGAAATCTGATGCTTATACTAAGCACAAGAAAGAAAGCAGAAAGAAACTTGAAACTTGTAGATGTTAGTATAAAAACAAATATTTTATTTAAAAAGAACAAAAGAACGAAATTGTATTTTATGGTGTTCCGATTTATGTTTCCTCAAATAAAATTTATTACTAAATCATCAAAGATGCTTTGCAGACAAATAAAACAAAAGTGAGGGGAAAAATATTTTTCATGGTTTTTTATTGCCAGCAATTTCTATCGATATGTGAATTTTTAAAAAAAAAAAATTTGAGGTGAAAAATAATCTGCAGATATTGTGATAATCTGCAGCGCCTGGCTGTCGTGCTGGAGGTTTTCTGCTACAAGAAGTATACCTAACTCATTTTTCTCTTATTCATGCTTTTTCAAAAAAGAAATGAGTTTTGAATATTTTTATAGTCATTTCTTTGCGAGACTTGGCGGAAAAGTAATTTTTAATATGCGTACAAACACCAGGCACATCTGCTCACGAATATGAAATAAAGGAAAATAAAAAACGCCAACAGTTTTGAATTTAATAAATAGTACCATATTAGAAAATACTTACATTGAAAAAACTGCATATGAGAAGATAGAAGCCAAACAGAAACTATTGACTTTTTAAAGCGATAAAAGATTAAAATTCAAGGAAAAAATAATTTTACATGGTCACATAAAAAAATTACATTTATTAGAAAAAGTGATATGGTGTGTAGTGTACTTAGAAAATAAACTAATGAAAACTTTTTAAAAGTCATTGGTACACTTCGTCGTTGAACTCTTAACTTGGGCATAGTTCAAACTGCGTATTTAAGAAAATAGACATTGCTTAAAACGCGTGTTTAAAAAAATATATAGTGCAAAAGGCACGTAACAAATAAGATTCTTAACATGATATCCCATTTGAAAGTAGACAGATAGGAAATCACAGATCTCGCATTTCAATTTTTTTCATTACGCATTTTGAGCTATACCCATTGTTTTCAAAAGCACATATCGATTTATTAAAACGTATATTTTGAACTATATCTATATCTATTTCTTCACACACGCATTTCAAGCTATGTCTATTTTTCTGAACGAACAAATTGAGTATTCCCTAAGTGAAAGAGTTTACATGTAATTACTTACTTTTAATTATTTAAATGCACTTATTTAAATTTAAAATCATGTAATTATTTACTTTCTCTTTCGCTTTATCATTTCGAAAATGGTAAATATTACCCTTTTTTAATAAGTTAATTTATAAAACCCTGAAGATTCAATTTTCTTAGGGGTGTGGGGAAACAATATATATAATTGAGGCTTCTTAGCGAAAGGATATCAAGCTTATTTTCTACTTTTTGAAAATTATAAGTATAAAACATTTCTTCGACTACGCCTGTATACTTGTATTTTCTTTCAGGGAGAAAATGTTTACATTGATTCAAAATAATTAAAAAGAAAATTTAATGAAGAAAGATAAGTAATGTTCTTCTGTATGAATTTCGATTCTTAATGACTGTAAATAGAGAAAGTCATGACCTTATAAAAGAAGATAGGTACTCACCTTTTTCAATATCAAGTCCAGTAGGTTATATGAAGTAACAATAAACGTAGCTACTTGTTGTGTCACTTTTATACTATTAACCTAAGTAAAATAACCTAATTAAAAGATACATTGTCCCACCCATTCATTTAGTTAACCAATAATTCTTCTTCATTCTAAATTTTATCCACCTATCATTAAAGGTTATTGATTTTCTTTATTTATTGTAGAGTGTTTGCATAGTGGAGAATAAATATAAATAATTATACATAATAGTAAATATATGTATATTTATTTTCGAAACGATGTATTGTTATTATTTTTTATATGAACGAAAAAATTTAAGGAATATGGATCTATGGGACTTAGAATAAAAATTGAGATTCCTCGGACAAAGGTCATATTTTAATCTTATAAAAGGTCATATTTAGTCTTTAGTTTTATTTAATATAAAGATACTAAGTGACAATCTTTGAGTATTTCCGGAGTGGAAGGAAGCTCCAATTGCATTTGGTAACAGTTAGTAGACAGATGAGCTTAGAAAACATAAAATCTCCAGTAAGCGACAAGAGTGTGAACGCTTTGATATTAGTTTATATTTATTTTGTATTAATTAGCTGTAATATTCAAAATGCAGCATTTTTAAAAGTTTTAATTATAATGAAAATTAATAAATATTGGCTGCTTTTGGATATATTAAGCTTATCTTTAAATTATACCAAAGGATGTTTATTTTTAATGCTGATAACAGATTCTATTAATGACATTTATTTTCAGAAAAATGATCAAACAAGCTCACCATATTTCCTTTCGTTTCTTCTGTAAAAATATAGTCAGTTTACAGTCATTGTTAAGACTTTTTTTCTTTTTACTAAAAAATTTGTATTACTTTTTTTTCAGCAAGGTTTTTTTAATTTTTTTAAGAGTTGATGCTTTTGTACCATAAATATTACTCTATATAACCATCCACAACATCCGATTTCTTAGGGATGTTTTTATTTAAACACAACTCATTATGTTTAAATAAAAACTCATATTATTATTGTTATTTTATCATATTTAAACATTATGTTTAAATATGATAAAATAACATGCGTAATAACTGTATATAATTACTATAATTATATAAAAGTCATGCAATTATGTTTTAATCACTGTGGTTATTTCGCAAAATTTTCTACTTGAATAGATATCATAAATTTTGTTTCATTTATCACACTAATTAACATTTTAACCCACTAATTAATATTTTGAAAACATCAATTAGTTACTATTAATAACAACTAATTACACGAGAATTTATGAAAATAAGACTAATTAGTAATTACAAAACTTATTAAATTTCAAACATTATGCTCTGTGAACTAAATTGCTTCGCTAGTTAGCATGCTAACCAGTTATTGTACAGAATAGAGATATTTTTCAGAATGCAGAATAGTGTGTTTATTTGCATGCATATGCATGCAAATAAGCACACTTTATTGGAAAAATGCTCAACAATGTGCTTGAAAATCTTTATTTTTAAGTGAAAGATTGAAAAAGGAACAATCAAGGGCAAGTGTTGCTTTTAAAACACGGATGATAAACATATTAAAACTACTAACAATTTATCTATTAATAAAGATTCCAAAGGCAAAAACATCAACAATCCATGTAAAATACAATGGACGAAATTTTTTGAAATGCATGGACGTGGGGTACCAAACACTGGTAAAGAGATCACTGACTTGCCACAATTGAACACTTTTGTGCTTGACTCTTTCTGTGCTTTTTTAAACAGTTTTTCACAAGATAATTGCGTTTATTTCTTATACGCTGCAATACAAAGATAATTTAGCCGACTATTTTGGCTAGTTCCTCTTCCCATAACTTTCTTTTCGCTTCGATTTTTTGATTTTGAAGCTCACTGGAAAATAAAGAGAAAAAATATTAGTTTGAAAGACAAACATTAGATGCATTAGTTTACACATAGTAACATAATCTCACCTGACAAAAAATTAGACACCTCATCTGATTGGATACAAAATCAGGTTCAAGCCGGATGTGAGTCAATGATGGATTAGGTTTTCTCACTGAATTGATCACTAACATGAATTAGCATGTTTATTTTAATCTAACATGAATCAGCATGTTCATTTTGGTCGATTTATCTTTGTAATTCAATCAATACTTTCATGATGATACTTCTTTTCAATATGACAATAGCAGAGATTGAAAGAGTATGTAACTGGTTTTAAGAACACTCATACACTTAATAACATCTCAAATGGCCTAATAAATTACCTGACATGAGCCCCACAAAAATCTGTGAAATATGAAGGAACAGCCGGTAAAATACCAAAACTAGCTTGGTGTATTTAAGTGATCAAATCCTCAGAGAATATCACATATCGGAAATCATGCGTCTGCAAAACCTTGTCTATTTACTACTTTACTGAATCCAGACGGTTGCCAATTCCAGTGTTCCATAATATTAAATAATGCTTTTCCGGTTTTTTCAAAGGGTGTCTCACTTTTTTCCGGTTTCAAAAATGTACTTATTCACCTAAAAATATGCCATCCCAAAAATATCCATACAGTTTTCATCGTAGAAATATACAAGTTTTAAAAAAAGTAGCATATTTTGGCTGTTTGACATATTGTCGAAGAATAATTCTCCAGTGTAAAATTTCGACAAATTGTGTGATGCACGTGATGTTGCATATATTGCAGTTTTAACCAGCGAAAGTTAAATATTATTTGGTTCCTTTACTAAATAACGATGTTTTTTATTACTTTGAAATAACTTGCTTGCTTATAGCTTTGAAGTAACTAATATACGAAATATTATATTACGAAACACTAATATACTAAATATACGAAATATTAACAAAAGTATTTTCGTATCAGTGTCGCTAAAGTTTGCGATTATCATAAATTGCTACACTTGTTATTAACAAAGCAGCCCTAAATTGTTAAATGGTCGAAAGCATTCATTCCAGCTATCACACTCACACGAAAGAGCGTAAATTTCATGAGTAATCAGAAAAAAATAACTAGGCAATTTTCGAATTTCAGACAATAAGTATGATTTTAAAAATTCCTTTCTTTTAATATGAAGTTCAAAATTCATACTTAATGTCATTTCTTTAAAGATTCATTCATAACGTTTCGATTCTGGTATAAAATAACTATTGTGGCAAATTTCAATGGGATTTTTTAAGCATAAAACAGTGTTATTTCTGATTCAAAATATTTATGATTTACCAGAATAATTAACATTGTCGAGTTCTCTGAACTGTTCTAAGAAGCATGAATAAATGATAAGGTTTTTCTATTAAAATAAATCCTCAGAGAACGCAATCAAATTTAATTAATATTTTATTAAAATGTTAGCTCAATTTTATGTCTTTTATTTACTGAAAATCCGCATTTTTTTTTAAGAAAATAATTTAAATAATCAGACGAGTGGTAGGATTTTATTTTCAACTTAGTGGTTAAAATTTTCATATCTCCTTAGTTTTATTTATTTATTTATTTTTAAATTTAATACTTAATGATAGGTATCTTCGAAAGCCTTAGAGTGAAAAGAAAAATGGTATTCAATTTTTAACAGACAAAAAATATCGGTGTTTGTTATTTGTCTTCCAGATTTGAGAGAAAACTTTGAAAAAGAGTTCTTGTCTACCTTTCACGATTATAAAGTATAAAATCTTTCTGTATAGAGTCCAGTTGTTCCCGAAGATACTCATCATCCTAAAAGAATAAATTAAAATATTTAAATATATAATGAAGTTATAAAGTGGTGATTTATTTCAAACGCTTGAAACAAATTATATTATCTGTTTTAAGCTATTATAAATGTTTTCTTAAAATTGCTTTTAAAGTTGAAGCACGGCAAACATTAATAACGACAACAATAAATTGTTTAGAATAAAAATAAGTTTTGTTGAAAAAATTAAAATATTTTACACTTTTATTCCATAAAGGAAATAAACTCAAGTTTTACTGACAACACTTAAGCACAAATTTTTGTTGTAGTTATCTACTACAAGTTTTTCTCTTACATTTATAGATTTTATTTGAAATGAAATTTTCAGTCTATTTTATCAAAATGTTTATAAACGTTATACGTAATATTGAGTCACGTAAATGTTGCTATAAACAGTAAATTTCTTGGAGAGTTAGGGTGCATCATCTGAATTAAAATTGCATAGGAAATCCATGACTAGAAATGTGGTCATGCTTGATTAAGATAGCTTCCCTATTATAACCTGTTCAAAAGCATGCAAGAAATATTCTTAATAAAGAAGCACCCCTAGAAGCGTATGACGACATTTTCGGGAGTAGGTTCCTATGCAATTTTAATGTTGATGATGTGACCAAACTCCTTTAAAAGTTTGTGGCAGCATTTATACGACCTTTTGCCACATATAACGTTTTTAAACGAGTACATTTCGACGAAAAATAGACTGAAAATGCCATTAAAAAACTGTATTTTGGAGAGAGAAACCGAGTGCAGATTTGAAGATCCTTTAGAAAAAACCTCATGCAACAGAAAACAAATTGCTCCCCAGTGTAATGAATGCCTGAAAACTTCAAAATCGAAGTTAGAGTTTAGATTTTTCTTAAGGAATATACTTTGATTACTTTTAATCTTAAAGGCTGGTTAAAACTAATACAGCATTACTCATATTTTTGGGACAGAATTTGAGGAAATTCTTTAACTCATTTTTTTTTTTGTTTATGTAAACTTTAAATAAGCTTTTATCCTTAATTAATAAGATTTTGTTTTTAATAAGAGCTAATTAGATGCTCGTTTGCTTAAATTTTTTTTGAACGGAGTACTAGCGATATAAAATTTAAATACATTGACGCCCAAAAATTAAGCACACTTTTTTACACATTTCCAGTGTAAAAGAATGTTCAACTTTTGGACACCAGTCCAGTTATACAGTTTTTTTTCCATGATTTTTGTTTATATATTTCTTTTTTCTTTAAATCATTATTCTTTTGTTCAGTGTGAAGTGTGCAAGAAGTTCTCGATACGTAAAAATTTCGTGAGATATCGCGAAATGTACAAAAAAGGAGTATTTACATAAAAGGCTCTAAACTTGAGACCGAGCTCCTGAATAAATTATAATTTCTGGATTTCGGTTACCACTTACCTTTTGATGGTCAAAAATCCAAATCCATCGAAAAAGAGATTTTATTTAGAGAAAGTAAGTATTATTTTTCTGTTGCTGTAGCTTAATTAATATTTAGAAAAAAATTAATTAGAGTAGCTGAATTCCTCTTTTCACACTATCAAGATTGGGACTTAGTTGGCGAAATTCCGAATATTAGAAAAGAAAAATATTCAAAAATATTCATTCTTTTTTCTTTGCTTACTGTTTGCTTATTGTTTGAATTATGATTCTAAATTAATAAGAGTTTTTGTGTTTTTTTTTGCATTCAAACTATAATTCTAAATTTTCTTAGAATTATTCTTAAGCAAAAATAAGAATGACTAGTTGTAAGCTGTTTTCGTTCTATTAAATTGTTTTAAAAAGGCGTAGTACTAAAGCTAGGCAAGTTTTTTACTAGAAATGGCTAATTGGATCCTGATTCTTTACTTTATTTTCGGTTTTTTAATATTCATTTATTTAATGGTGGGTTAATGAACATGCTTAATTTTACATTTAAAGGAATTAGACAATGATTTTAAGCATGAACATGATTAAAATCATATCTTGAGTCGAATTTGTTTTTATGTATTTTTAAAAATAAGACATCTTTTGATTTTTATAGAATTGCTATAAAATACAGCAAAAGTATTTTATATTTTAAAGAAAAAACAGAAAAGAAAAAAAATTGCTTTCAAAATGGTAAAAGGAATGTTATTTTTATTTTTGCTAGATAAAATTTGTTATAAATAAAAGTCAAAAACATCATGTGATAATCCTTGAAATGTCATAGGTCTAAAAAGACATAAATTGAAACTTTTTTGATATTTATACTATCATTTAAAGACCAATAAAAGTTTAGCACATACTATGCTTTTCTATATCTGAAAGTTTAAAATTAAAAAAGAGATTTAATATAAACTGAGTAAATAGTTTTTGTATAAACTCTTTTGCTGGATATGGTTGAGATATATATTCATGTCTAAATTCATTTGAGGATTTATTCAACATTTTTACGGATTTTTACTTTGATGTTCTCTTGTTATTTAGCCATATTCCGCGAAAATCATTCAATATATTAATTGACCATTTGAAGGAAATCGAAATATTCTCATGACCTCAAAAGAATTATTTTTCTTCTAAATTCAACATCGTCATAAATAGTTAATTTCTGAATATTTATTTATAACAATAAATAGAAGAATGAAACTCGTAAATAACATTTAAGGAAAAAAATCAGTTCAAGTTTTCTCACAAGAAGCAAAATTTTACCTCGCTTAATTGTTGAGGTGAAGAAACAGTTTTTGCTTTATTTCTTTTAGAAAGGCGTTTCTTCTTTTTGTGCAGTGGATTCGACTCGATTATCATTTCTTCGAGTTCAAATGTTGGATCGCAATTTAGCTGGTTTTTCTAGAAGAAAAAGAAAAAAAATTACAGCAGCGTAAAATTTTTTAATTACAAAACTTTAGAGAGCAAGAAAAATTTAAATTAAAATGATTTTTTTTTTACTTTTTTTTCTCACTGCTTCGTAAAACCATTTGTTTAAGGAAAATACAAAGAAATATACTGTTTAGTGTTTTACAATTGAATGCGAAATAGCATCCTGTTCTGATTACAGAAATATAAATTCTAAATAAGAAAGCAATCAATCAATCCTTCAAATTAAATAATAAACAGTTGTTGGAATATTTTGTGTAAATTTAGAAAATAGAGTTTTTTTTATTTATTCAAAGTTGCTTTTTGAACAAAATTAGTTTTAATATCCATACAGTAAAAAATTCCAATATAAAGTATCGGCACTTTGGGTGCTTCATCCGTAAAATCCATTTTACCGTAAAGCCCATTTTTATTTAAAAATTATATTTTTTCAGTAATAATTACCGTAAAATCGCTGAATTACTTTAATTAAATAAATGTTGCTGTAAAAATTACGGTATACGATATTTTTGTTCCGTCATACGTTCCAGTAAAAATAGATATAACTGTAAGAAGGGCCCTGAGGACCCTTACAGTAATATGACCCAGAATTTTTTATAGTATACTTAAATTGTAAATAAGCGAAATACTTTACTTGTTGAGCCAACTGTTTAAAATCGTTTTAAAATAAACAGTAAAAACTTGGTGAAATTGTATCAGATTTAAAGTAAGTCTGTCAATTAAATAAATGTTGCTTTAAAAATTACGGTATATGATATTTTTGTTCCGTCATATGTTCCAGTAAAAATGGATATAACTGTAAGAAGGGCCCTGAGGACCTTTACAGTAATATGACCCAGAATTTTTTATAGTATACTTAAATTGTAAATAAGTGAAATGCGTTACTTGTTGAGCCAACTGTTTAAAACCGTTTTTAAACAAGCAGTAAAAACTTGGTGAAATTGTATCAGATTTAATTCTCTAATTTTGTGCATCCTCTAATTTTGCAATGGTAAAAAAGTTATGTTAAAACCTTCTCATCGAAACGACTACAGATACATAAGGGCAATTAATATTACATACATTTCTTAAAAATCACTGAATAGTAACAACATTTCAAATCGTAGTCTAAAGATGCGTAGATAATTTTTGACCGGTTGTATAATGTAACATCAAACTAGTGAAAAACAAATGACATGACTAATTTAATAGCATTTCATGATGACCCGTAACTACTCTCCTTAATATATATTTTTGAATTCTTTTCAATCATGAAGCTAAAAAAGTATGCGTATTAGAGGTCATGAATAATTACCTAGCCAATTAAGAAAAAAAACTGGCAAAAGTCTTTCGAATCCCCAGTGCGAAAGGTTTTTTGAAAAATATTAAAACCAGTTTAATAAAATAATAAACCTGCTTAAACCTACAGCTGTAGAAAAATATTAAACCTGCTTTATAACTTCCCAGCATTTAAATTTTAAATTTCGGTAAATATATTATTAATCACAGATTTTTAAAACCCTTCAAAATAATCAGAGTTGTAATGAAGAACAGTAATTTCTTACGCAAGGAACAAAAGAAGGTGCAATTTGCCTGTTGTATACAGCGTTGAAATCCACTGGTTTTAAGTAGTGGTGCCTTTTCATATGCCTAATGGATGATATTCGTCGTTTTGGATTGATGCAGAGTAACTAAAATCAAAACATTTAATCAAAAATTTGAATTAGAAACAAAACAATGTAAGACGAATACATAATTGAATATATTCAAAAGTCCGGTTATCCTTTGTTGTTAAGTAACTAATTAATATAGCTTTTTAAAATGTTTTGCCTAATTTTATTTGCTGAAATTTTTTTATAGAACTTTGTCGCTAAATTTTAAATATTAAATTTTAAAACTTGTATTTAAAATATTTCAACACTCAACATTAAAACACTCAGAACATTTAAATTTTTTTAAAAATAGTAACCTTATAATTTATATTTAAGAAAACTAAGTTCAAGGGATAAGATTTTATATCATATTTGCTTATTTGCTTCATAAATAAGAAAATTCCAGACATATAGGCTTACTTGGAGGACATAGAATTAATTTTCTATCTGAAAGGGACCTAAAGGTCCCTTTCAGAAGTAACGAAGCCATCCCTTTTTGAAGTAGTTATGATGATGTTAGAGTAGAGTTCGCAAAGAAAAAAAACCAAATCTCCCTGAATAACTTTGTATGAAATGATCGGATCTTCACGTTCTAAGATTCATCTTAACGGTTAGAGAAGGTGACTTTAAATATAATAATTAACTATTGCAGACGATATTTTAAGTTACAAAATCAGACACAAATACGTACTATCTCTCAATAAATATACCCTTTTTTGACGAATTCAGATGTCTGACTCCCGAAATATAAAGGATAGCAGCAATCTGCGAAGTACGGTCCCAATAATTTGGACAGGAGTGGGATTCACTTTACTTTTTGCGTATTTCACCATTTCTCGAGAAATTTTTAAGCGAATTGAAAGTATTTTGCACTCAAATATAAAATATGTTTAGCCAAAAATATTTCTATAAAAAAACTTTAGTGAATATTTGCTATTTTTTATTATTTTATTTAAAAATGGTCGAAAAAAATTTAATTGTAAGATATTCATTTTTTCAATATTTCAAAGAATGTATTTTTGCATGGCATTTTTCAAAGAATGTATTTTTGCATCCATCGAACAATTCTAAAAAATCGAAATTTAAAAATACGAATTTTCTAAAATTCAATTTTTCCGGAACTATTTGACCAATTTTGCTCAGACTTTGTATTTTGATATTTAAATTACATTCTGATTAAATGACAAAATTCGATTTTTCAAAAACTATTCGACCAATTTTGCTCAAAATGATAAAAGGAATCTTATAGAATATGTACTAAAAATTATATTTTGCATAGAATTATCTTTAGATAAGCAAACCTTATAATTGTGTACAAAGGTTTTCTTAATTTACTTGAAAAGTTCTCGAGATATGTCGAATATGTTAAAAGTAAAATTAATATTGAATGTTCCAAACTTCGTACCGCTCTCCTGACTCAACTATTGAAACCATATTTTCCAGACTGCGGTTACTCCCTGTATTTTAGAGGACAGAAAAGAAGAAAAAGAAGCATGTTTATTCAGAGAAAGTACGCTTCTTCTTAATTCGTAACTTAAATTTAAAACTTAATCTCAATGGTCGAAGATGGTGACATTAAACAGGCCTATTAATTAGTGCGAACGATATATTAAGTCTAAAAATCAGACACAAAAGCGTACTTTCTCGTAGCAAATTATTTTTTTGTAGACGAATATAGATTTTTGATCTTCAAAATATAGGGCATAGTAGCAACCGTGGAAATACGGTTCTAATAGTTTGGGCAGGAGAGCGGTTCAAAGTTTCGACTCTTAATGTTAATTATCATATCGTATTTTCCTTTATCGTATTTTGATATATCTCTAGGTATTTTTAACGGTTATTTATTATTTTATTTAATAATAGTTGAAAACTCTTTGAATTGGTATAAAAAAATGGAAATTTTTTTAAAGAATGCAGTTTTGTAAGGCGAAATGCAAAAAATTAAACAAAATCAGTCTAATAGCTCTTGAGTTATCCAATTTCAAATATACAACTTTTTTAAAATTTGATTTATCCGGAACTATTCAACCGATTTCGTTTAAATTTCGAATTTTGCATTAAATATTACATTCCTTAAAATGATGTGAAAATTTCTATGCCTTTTTATTAAAAATTGTTTCGATTATTAAGAAATAAAATAATAAATAATAAATAGTTAATAAAAATTATTTTTCTAATAATTTTCTTTGGATAAACGAATTCCATAATTCTGAGCAAAAATGCTTCAATTAGCTTAAAAAATTCGCGAGATATGGCGTAATACGCAAAAGGTAAAATTGAAATTAAAAGGTTCAAACTTTCAACCACTCTCCTGACCATACTATTGGGACAATATTTTCCAGAATGCAGCTACCCCCTATTCTTTGGGGGTCAGGAATCCAAATCTGTCAACAACAACAAAAAGGTATGTTTATTCAGAGAAAGTACGTTTTTTTTTGTCTGAGTTCGTAACTTAAGTAAATAGTGTTTGTACTACACTGATTGAAAAGGTATGGTCAAAACTACAAAAATATGATAAAATTTATTATGTTTCTGACTGTATGGGAACGGCAAAAAGCAAGGGAGTTTTTACGGATGTGCTTTGGTAATGACTATTGGTAAAATTAACAAAAATTGTCTTTTTACTATGCTGTTTGGTAATAAATTAGGTAATTTTATCATGATACCTTATAACACGGCATAGAAACCATTTATTCGCTTAAATTTACTTTTTACTTTTCGTTTTTTAACATCCTTTGAAATAACTCTTTTTATTTTCTGTATTTGCTTTAGAAAACCAAATTTTAATATAATTTGCTTTGTTAGATACGATTTCGAAAACAATACAATATAAGTCTCTTAGGCAGTTGGGATACATAATATTTAATAGGCATATTGATAAGATATGTTGCTTCCAATAAGGTCTTCCTACAAAACTTATTAAATTTGTGCAATATTGCTGTATATTTTGGCAGTTCTCAAGATTTCGATCAAGTTCCGTTAAGCAGACTTATTTTTTATAACTTGTAGAATTAAATAAGAAAAGAATTTGGAATTTTTCTTCTTTTCTTTTTTTTCCTTTTCCTTCTGCTTCCTTTATTATTATTATTTTTTTTTTGAAATGTAAATACAATTTTGAATGGAATTCTTATCAATAAGTAACAAAAGAAAATATTTATAATTAATTCGGTCTGTCAAGTGTTTGTTTTAATGTTTATTTCTAGTTTATGAAATAATTAGATGTTGCGTTGAAGTTATATTTTAAGGCATATGCACTTAAAATACAGGGTGTTCCATGAAGACCACCCTCAATATATATTTTTAGAATCCTTATCAAAAATCATCACATATCAATATTTTATTCAGGGAAAACAAAAACGTTATGGAGATCTGACGTTTGCATTAAGGAAGCGTATGTGATGAAAATCAAAACATGTTCGATTTGATGTTGGAACTTAAAAGTGTTTTTAATAGTCATATTTCAACTCTTATTTGTTTTCGCCCGAAACTTTTCAAGCTTGTCTTTTTTAATATAAAATTTGCTCTTCTCTACTATGATTTGTTAGGTTTCGATAGCATATACTTTCTTCGCCTACATATCAATTTGAAACCCATAATATAATATATTTTTGTAATTTGAATTCTGAAAAATACATATTAAGGGTGATCTTAATGGAACACCCTGTATATTTGTATCTTTTGAGAAAACATGCATCTTAGTATTATATAACTTTTTATACTTTTGTATACATTATATTATAATAATTATACTTGCTTCATTAATGAGACTTGCGAGTCCTTTGTCAACTGATCTTGGAATTCGAATACATGAATTATGAATGAGTGAATGGATTTCTTCCATACTTGTATCTGAATGAATTCCATATGGTCTCTAGGAAAAATATTCAATATAAATTTAGTTCAGAGGAAATATTTTTAATATAGTTTTAAATGTTTTTTTCTTTTTTGTGGGTAATGAAAAAATATGTGTGCTTATATATCCAAAAATCTTACTTACTGTACTCTTATAAAAATAATTTAATGCTTAATTTTTAAGAAGTTCTTTAGAAAAAAATATGAGTTATCATTAAGAAACTAAAGCTTGGATTAAAGCTTACGATTATAATTTTTGTTCATATTACTAAGACTAATGAAATCAGATTCTTCTTTTTTAAATTTCATAAAATGAGGATATTTTCATATTTTGCAATGACTCACCTCCACAAATTTTCCGGTTTGAGTAAAACTCAACTGCTTGATTATTGCTAAGGAACAGTTACATTTTTCGGAATAATTAATTATAGACGTTAATTGATGAAGAAAAACTAAGTACGTTTAATTAATAAAGACCGTGTGCATTTATTGTTAGGCAAAATATTTTAGATATCGAGGTATCGAAAAATAATAATTTAAAAAAAAATGCTCATTAGTTGATTTCTAAACAGCTATAAAAATGAGTCTTCTTGCCGGACTGATACAAAAATGAGTACCTCAGTAAGATGTGTGATTGCCTCCGACATTAATGAACATTTTGCATCTTTTATTCATGCTGCCCACTAAACTATCGAAGAGTCCTTGGGGGATATTATCCCACTCCTCTTACAAGGCAGTTTTCGGTTCTTGTACGTATTTTTTATATAACCGTTGTTGAACAGCCAACCCAATTTTCGGGTTTACGACTACTACTGCTCAACTCCATAGCTTTGTAATTTTGAACCCAATCCAGAAGACAAGGGAACTCTTGGATCTAGTATTGAGAGAAATTTTCCTTCGTAGAGGACTTTTTGATGTAACGAATCCGCATTTGCGTTGCATGGAGAGGAAGACCACGAGGACCTCCCACGGTTAGCCTGATGGCAAAGGAACTCTAACACATGATCCGTCTATCACTGCGGATATTTCACGTCAGCACTGTGGTCGGTGCAAGCCGGATGCGGATTCGTATCTACCCGCCATCCCTGGGATTTGAACCTGGTTCACCTCATTGGAAGGCACGCACTTTATTCTCTGAGTCATTGGTTGCATCTTGCACAATTTGGAAATGATGTGTTCTTTGTCAAACTCATCTGCCATGAACATCCTAGGCATGCTTTAAAGGATTTAGATCCGAGGAGTATACAGACTATTGCATGCGGTCAACATCTTTACATTCTAGTGTGCCCGATACTTCAGCACACCTTTGCGGCCGCGCATTGTCACTTATAAATGGAAAGTTTAGACCAACCACACCCCTTAAAAAAGAAACATGGTCCTGAATAATCTTTCTGCAACACCGCTGTGATGTAATGCCACCTCGCTCATGGACGTGAAGAGGTGTTCAGCCATTGTGCATAATGCCTGCCCATAACAGCATTCCTGGACCATACCGCGATCACGTTCATCAATCTACTGTTGTGCAAAACGTGTTCTCCTCTCTCTTCACACTAACTGGCAGCCAGAATTACTTGTCATAATGAATTGAGACTCGCCGGAGTACATCACTCTGAACCACTGCTGGTAACTCCAATCAATACGTTCTTTACTTCAACGTAATCTTTCTCGACGAGGGCATAGTAAAAGCAGGATGCATCGAACAGGTTTTCATGCTTGCAAACAAACTTGATTTTATCTCCGTCAGAGGGCTCTGGCTGAAACATGTGTACCGGTAGTGGTTACTTAGACAGGTTAGCAGCTATCTGCCTGAGAGTGACATTTCCGTTCCTTTTCGCTACTGGGGATACATATCGTTCCTTATGAGGTATGGTGTTCTTACAACGACCATTGGCATGCTATCGCTTAGCATTTCAACCTTCAGCAGTCTTTTCTAATCGCGAGAATACACTTTTTGCCACTCCTATTATTGCGGCCACAGTGGTGACATTTAGAGCTGCCCTGAGTCATCTAAATGCTTGTCCACGATTGTAAGAACTCAAATGATATCTTGCTAACATTTTGCACTTAATTATTGCAACACAGAAGAATTTCATAGAAATAAGCTCAAATACCTATAGTGCTATTTTGGTCAAATATCTAACATTATGAATTTCAGAATGAAAAAGAGAATGTGTGCAATGCTTTTTATACAGATAATGGGTACTGGTCTACCAGACCCTCTGCACTTACTGTCATTGGTCGGCTGCAAATAATGCTACTTAACATAAATCAGTTGTTTCTTAGTAATTGTCAAGCAGTGTAAGAACTCTTTAAAATGTTTAGAAAAACTTTTACATAAAAAAAATATACGAAATTAGCACAAATCTGTGTGAATATTTTAAAAAAATCAAGTGAAATAGTTTGTTTCGTGATATATGAATAATAATGACGTAAAAATGAAATAGGATTTATACCCATATGTAATACAATCTTCACATTAAATAGGTGGGGATTTCAAGCAAATTTCAAACTTTTAAATATTTTTTACACTAACTTCTCCTCTAAAATAAAAATATGAAGAAAAAAACCAAATTGTAACTAATTTCATAAAAATATAAAAAGCATAACATATTTTCTAAATTTTTGAATAAGTAAAAAACCAAATGAGTGTGCCAAAAGATGTAAGCAAAAGCTAATACACATTACAGTTTAAAAGTGGTTATTCACAAAAAGAAAAGGCCTTCATTTTAGATGAATTTGGCTTATACTGAATAACATTACTATGTAATTTTTATAGAAAAGTTTTTTTTCCAATGCCCAACCGATTGAAACTCGCTATTCAGGTATCAGTAGGGCAGATTTGTTAGCCACTCTTTCATGGGAGACATATTAGGTGGGGAAACATTGCTCCCACAGTAAGAGCGGATAGTACAGAGAATGAAAGAACATCCATGCGAAGGACCTTTCTGATGTGAGGTCAGCTCCTTGGCAACTACACAGTTCGGCTTATAATGAAAAGTAAAATTTAAAATATTGAAATATATTCACATGTAAAAATAATATATTTTTTAAAGTTTTAAAAAAGAAAGAAAAAAAAAAATTTTTTTTTCGAGAGCGTCCAATTTCCCCTAAGTAGTTTAAAACTTTCTTTTATTGAAGATAGTTGTTTACAACGATCTTTGTGTTCAGACATAGTAAACTCTTTTTCATTTAAATTACTTTTATTACTTCACTATTTATTTTCATTACTTCAATATTTACTTTTATTTCTTCAATATTTCGTTTTATTACTTCAATAGCTACTTTTATTACTATTGCAATTACTTTTCTTCTTAAATAGCACATGCCATATATTATTGCCGAAACTAATCATATTGCTATATTTCCACTTACCATTTTGCAAGCCATTTCATAAGCTGTTATACCAAGAGACCACCAGTCTGCTGCAAAAGAGTAACCAACTGTATGGTCTATAGCACAAGCAACAACTTCAGGAGCTAAAAAATATAAGCGAAAAAGCATTAAACTTATATTCAGTAAGAAAACATAACAAATTATGCGTGATGTCGTCAAATGGTTGATACTGCTTACAATATTGTGATATATAAAGGCAAGATTGAAGTAAAAAAAATAATGATAACAATAAAATATATGCTTAAGAGTCAGATGTGAAACTCACATCATACACGTAAGATGTAAACTGTAAAACACTTTAGTGTAATAGCTCTACAAATTTTGTGTTTTTGGAGTTAACATCAAATCGATCATTTGCATTCACTTTAAAAGGTATCGTTTAAATGTCTACACAAACAATAAAGAATGCTTACTCCAAACTCCTGCACACTCACATCATTCGTGCATTATTTTTACTACCGAAAGCAACAAATTTGGCGTGGCCGATCCCCACCGAAGACTCCCCGTATATTAAATGATTACTGGTGCAGACTAAATCGTTCGGTCACTAAGTCCTCCAAATTCCCAAAACAAATCGATGCCTCTGGGGGTACTGAATTGGAGATTGATCGTTATCTGTTTCAGGTCATAATTACGGTTTTTGGATGGATGTATGAATGGGTTCAACCTTTAAAATGGGCTGTAGTGTGGCTGAAGTCTTATTCTTGGCCATATATGGCGCCACTGGAGAACAAGAAACGCACCCTCTGCCTTAAATTCGCTTGGTTTCACCAAACAGGCTTGCTTGTATTGGCAAGTGGAATTAGATATAACAACAACAGGAAATTTAGCGTAGTTTCGATATAGTCAGTAAATCGTTTAAAATCGAATTGGTAATAGCGTGAGTTTGTTTTGCATGTTGCTACACGTCTACAGGAACAAAAGTTCGTTAGTAAAATGTATGTATATTTTTTAACTATCTGTCAGTTGCATTAAATCGTTTTATGATATTAAATTTCTATCCGCTTCTATCTGTTCTGTAAGCCGAATTCAAATTTATCTTAATATTCTCAGTTTTTTTTAGTTCTATTTTACAAACTAATTTTATTCTAAGAGTTGTTGTGGGCAGATTTATCTAAATGTTCTTACTTTAAATTTCATTGTAAAAATTACTTTACTGGTTGCTGTGTGCATCATACCTTTTTGCTAATTTAAATTTTAAAATTACTAAACACAAAATATGGAGGCAACTACTTTACACCAAAAGTAGTGAAAAGGGTCATGCCTGCTGCCTCTCTATGCCAAACACCTACATTTGGAGTTGAATAATCTAAAAAATTGCGTAAAAGATCACTTCAGTTCAAGTTAGCGCTAAATTTAAATGTCCAAACACACTTTAAACAGAATAGTTAATGTATAAACACGAATAATAAGAAAATTGTAAACCAAGCTCCATCACATTTCAGTCCCGCAGTGGACTGATAGTTAAGACACGGCTCCCAGCAAATCACCGAAGTCAAGCATCACTGGCTGCAGTCAGTGTGCGGATAGGTGACCACTTGGATCAGTCTGCGTAGGGACCAAGGTTGTGTGGCATTGGTCCTCGTTAAACTGTTTTACCGTAAGTGCTCGACTTCGCGTGCAGGTAGTCGGGCTACTGAAGCTGGGGTGTCACCCCTCTGCAGAGGATCAAAATTGTGATGGCATGTCTTCGGATCATCCCAGACCGTCGCCAATAGCCCATTGTGCAGCTCTAGTGAGACGCGTAAATGAACTACAACAATAACAATAACCATCACATTTCATGAATTTATGTCTCTTCCAAAAGCGCCAATTTCGGCATACTTCGGATATCTGCAAAAGTTTGTTTACAAACGATTACAAAATTGCATGAATTTGTTGTTGTCTTCTATGCTGTTATATATCTAAAGAAACAAAAGATCGTGGTTTCAAAATGTATTTATGTTTTTGTGTGCAATAAGGATAATTATATTTTAATTTTTAAATATCTGTCAATTGTATTCAATATTTTTATGATATTGAACTTATAAATTTTAATCCATGCCTTCTCTGTTAAAATTAATTATATTCATCGTAATATTCTCTATGTGCTGAGTGTATATTTGATCAACAGCGCAATTTTGTTTTAAGAATCAGTGTATACACGCATCCTTAATTAATGATTCATACTTCATATTATATAGTAAAAATAACTTTACTGACTCTTACTCGTATACTTATCATAAGTTACTATAGTAATAAATTTTAGTGTAAAAGATTATATACAATGGTGGCAGCTACTTTTCACCAAGTAGTGTAAAAGAAAAATCTCAAGAGTTCAGTTACACCAGGAAGTGCTATTGATTCTTGATGTAGTGAAATGTGTGCAATTTTTTTTATTCGTTACAATAGTTATAGATATCTGTCTAATTTTGCCGAAAAGAAGTCATGCTTCTTTAGAAAAAATGTGTTTTGTATCTGATTTCTCAATGTACAACATCGTCCGCACAATTTAATTAGCATATTTAAGTTTATACCCTTGAACCATTGCAACTGAATATTAACCTGTGAAATTCTCATGATAAGAGTAAAGGTTATAAAAGTATTCTGTTTTCTATCCAATCCAATGTACAAATCAATGTTCATTGCTTACGCAAATTTTTCTTAACCTTTTTAATTTTGTTATCTTTAAAGTGTTCTCAGTATATTGCCTAATGCTTCTTTGGTGTTATTAATTTTGGTGCTAATATGAAATTAACGTAAATTTAGTTTTGAAAGATAAAAAGCTTTTAAGGTTAGTTACTCGCTTATTAACAGATAAGTGAATCTTCGAAGAAATTTGGAAGAATTGTTTCGAGCACTATGAATATTGCCTATT